GAATACTTGTCCTTCCTTGAAATATTATTGCTACAAAACTACGTTAATTCTTAGCGGCTTGGACAATATGTCGACATTTCCAAGTCCTAAGATAAAGCATCGTAGCCCTAATTTTGACTTGTGGCCTCAAAGCATACCACAAACTCAAACTTAAGTGGAAGTCACGATGATGGACTTTGTTACACTTTTCCATAATTTTGCTCCTTTAGACATTATAAGCAAAAATCTGAATCCGAGTATCCAATTATAAAAATAATTTGGATCTTCTTTAAGTGAGCATGTGTTCTTTAATGCCTTGTACATACTTTAGAAATTCTTTGCAGCATTTAAATAATCATTTAGGGATTACAATTATATTTGTTTAATGTATATCAACAACAAATATGTTATCAAACCAAATACAGGTTCGTCTCGCTTAAGACTCCTAATCATTTTTATCTAAGGAATTTTCTCCATCACTTTTCATTCCATTTCGCCTTCGGACATTTATTTAAACTAAATATGTCCCTTTTATGAATTGGAATTATACGGAACAACCATCCATTACCTCTCAAATAAAACTTTAATGGGATAAACTTTTAGTCCTAGTGATATATTCCAGAATATTTCTATTCCAATTACCAAGCACGTTTCATCCACATTCTTTATTTCATAATTTTCAGAGAGATAATACTTTAATTCGTGCAACATGTTCACATTATTAGCAACTATAAATATGTTATCGACATACGGAACTAAAATAAAAAATCTACTCCCACTAACCTTAATATAGATACACCGGTCTACGGTATTCTCTATAAAACCATAAGCAGTGATGATATCCTTAAACTTAAGATACCATTGACGAGAGACTTGTTTTAGTCAATATATCGATCTATTCAACTTACACACTAACATTTCATTCTTGTGATCTGAAAAACTTTTAATTAGTTCATGTAGATCTCCTTTTAAGTTTATCATTTAGAAGGTGATCTTTATGTCCATTTGATAAAGCTCAACATCATACAGAGCCACTATCACCATTACAATTCTCAAGGAATCATTCTTAAAAACGAGAGAGAATGTTTCCTTGTAGTCAATGCCTTCCTTTTGGATGTAACATTGAAGTCTAGATTTATACCTTTCGATATTACCTTTAGAGTCATGTTTGGTTTTCTAGAAAACCCATTTACACGCGACTCTTTTAGACCCTTCAGGTAATTATACTAAATCCCAGACTTTATTGTCATTCATTGACTGTAATTATTCTTCATGGCATTGGCAAACTTTTCCAGAATTTTTACTTTTAATGACTTGAGATTCATCAACCAAAGGTTGTTCTATAATTATGATTGCTTGTGATGATTCATTATCAAGTAAGTTTGGATCATTGTGTTATTCATCTAAGTTATATGACATTAATGTAACTAGAAGAATAACAACCGTTAATGGACTCTCAGGTTTGGACTGTTCAACCCGAGTTTCTTTGACATCCAAACTTTGTGGTTCCAAACTCCCACTGATTGATAATTTTCAATGAATCGAGCATTTTTGCAATCAACTATTCTCGTACTATGGTTAGGGCCATAAAACTTATATCCTTTAGAACCTTCCGGATAGCCAATGAATAACCACTGGTTGTCTTAGGATTAAGTTTCTTTTCATGTGGATTATGTATTTTTACTTATGCTTAACACCTCCAAATATGAAGATGCTTCAAACTAGGCTTCCTACCCTTCCATAGTTCATAAGGTATTTTAGGAACTACTTTAATAGAAACCCAATTTACCCAATATGCAACAATCTTTAACACATGCATCCACATAGAAAATGTTAATGTTGAATTACTGAACATACTCCTAACCATATCCTATTAAGTACGGTTTATCCTCTCAGCAACGCCATTATGTTGAGAAGTCTCAATTATAGTGTGTTGCACATAAATATTTCAAATCTCAAGAATCTTTACAAATGGACTAGGATATTATCCTTTTTCATTGAACATACAATAATATTCACCAATCTAGTGAGATCTCACAACTTTTATTTATTTATCTAACTACCTTTTCATCTCATCAATGTATATCTTTGGATAGTCCAATGATTGAGTCGTTTCATGTAGTAGATAAATATAACCATAACGTGAGAAATCATTTGTAATGGTGATTAAATACTTTACAAAACCCCATAAAGGGACGTCTAATAGACCACAAGAAAATTAGTAAAAAGAAGTTTTAGTGGTTCTCTTGGCAAATCTCTTTAATGTATGTCTAGTTTGCGTTTCTTTAATTCATCCTACACATACATTTTGATCACTAAAATCCAAATGAGAAATGGTTTCATTATTCACCATTCTCAAACCTTTCTTCGGATATGTGACCATAATCTTTAATGCCATAAGAGAGTATAGTATTCATTATGTGCACTACGTTTAACCCAAAATTAAATATGAGATACATAAGTAGTTGCACATAACCAAGCCACCAAGTATCATTGGGAATCTTTAATAAATATGATTCACAACATACAAAACTTAATGCATATCTTTTTTTTTTCGAATCAATATTTTATTTTGGGCAATCTTTTATGAGGTGGCCTAACTTTTTACAGGAGTAACACCTCATTTCTTTAATGATCGGACCTGCAAAAACTTTAAGTAAGTCAATCTTCTTTTATTTGCCTTTGTTTCCCATTTCATCTTACTATTATTGGCTCTTACATGAGATAT